AATACAAGCAAACAGTATACAGTCATAGATATACCGAAGGTAAACAGAGAAACAGCATAGAGCAGTGTCTCCCAAAGTGGGGTCCGCGGCCCCCTGGTGGGCCGCGAGGGTACTGCAGGGGGGCCGCGGGAGGTCATAAAAAAATAATAATAATAATAATGTAATTATTTTATGTTAAATTTATAATGTTTTGTTTGTAATATTAAAATATTTGTGTTCATTATTTGACTTTAATAATCCACTGTAATCATTTTTGTATTACAATGTTTGTAGCAGAGGCTATTTCCCCAAAATAAAATAACCAGAAGAGCCTATTCTTAATGTTGTCTTCTTGGTTATTATTTTGGGGGGCCACGCAGACCCGTCAGATTTTTAAGGGGGCCTCGGTGTTACTGAGTTTGGGAATGGCTGGCATAGAGTATTTACATGAACAAATTTACAAAATATTTACAGATTGTATATCATCATCATAATGACACCATGATGTTTCTATACAGTCTATGGTCTATACCCACACATACACACACACACCCACACACACACATTGAAGGGGCTTTTTGTTACCAATTATTTATTTTGTCATCCATTTATTGATGATTTTGCATCAAATGTTAGTGTGTAATATAACACTACACATTGTTTTCAATAAAAAAAAAGCAATTGCACACAGCACGCAAATGTGTGACTAATTTGCGATTAATCGCGAGTTAACTATGAAATTCATGCGATTAATCGCGATTAAATATTTTAATCGTTGGACAGCACTAGTTAATATCTAAAGTGGTGCCATATCATCGAAGGAAAGTGGTAGTAAAGAATGTCGTCAGGTTTGAGACATTCCCAAAACAAATATAATGAGATTATACTACTAACTATCTATTTTGGAAGGTAGATATCAAATCTTCCCATGGCATAATAATAAGAGTTTACTGGGAGACGGAAGGCTTCAGCTTATGTCTCAAAAAACAACTCCAAGTTTGTTTTTTGACAAGGGAATAAAGTTGTAAAGTGGTTAAAAACTCCATGCAGCCCAAAAACTGATGGCCCTATATAGAAAAATATGTTTTGAATAATATTTTGTCGTATATTTTGTCCTGGCCTTATCTTGTGTGTGTCTCTTGGCTTCGTTTCTCGTTTATCAGATTTACACAGAGGCCAGATACGGCACCTGGTTCAACATCGGCCATTTTCAGATGCTTAAAATGCAAAGTCAAACCGCAGCAATACATTAGATTCAGAAATATTCCATAATTTGTAGTGTTTGCTCTTTTAAAGGCTAAGATTTGATCACAGGACTGAGCCATGGGACAAACTAAAGACTTATGTTCAAGCCTCAGACCATTCAGTTTAATAGTGAGATCCCACCTTTAAGTGAGTGGGGCGGCTGCGGCTGTGGCTGTAAAGTGCCGAACTGTCAATGTGTCCTCAGGCAAGACACTTCACCCACATTGCAAGTCGATGTGTTAATATTTTTATGATAAGGAGATCCTTTTATTTGATCTATACTATGATCAAATAAAATCATAAAACTCTAGCGTGTTAAAGAAGCAAATATAAAATCTCAGACTTTAGCATAAAAAAGAAAGAAGTTAAAAATCTCTAACTGTAGCATAATAAAGAAGCAAGTATAAAATTATAACTATATTTCTTTTTTAGTGTGACCATAAAAGGGAAAAGGTTAGTATTTATTTGAAAGGAAAAAGTGCCCAGTCCCCAGCTACTTAAACAAACAAAAAACATAATAAAATTGCATTTATAGAAATTAAAAGTAGCTCACCAATCGAAAAAGGTTGGAGACCCCTGCTATAACACATAATGCAATAAAATTATAGCACCTACATGTCACTGTTGATCTCAAAATCCTATGCATGAGCGATCACAAATGCCAGAATGAACCAAAACTAGTCAAACTATTCTTATCTCTACATGTAGTGCATAGTAACATCTTCATACTCTAACTATTGAACACCAAATAACATTGTTCCGTCATCAACAAAACAAAATTATCTAACTTTTATGGGCTAAAAAAACGTCCTTAATACATCATCCTCCATGTTTATTCACTTTGCTTAAATTATCTGCCTTCATTATAATCGATTCAATTAATTCCCTCCCTCCGCCCTTTAGTTCCCTATAAAAAAAACACTTTTTTCCCTTAGTTCAGTGCTTGCGATTCCTCTCCACAGTATATGTACGTCTCGCTTCATTTTTCTTGCTTTTACGGCTGTCCCGGGTCTCTCCACTGTCCTCCCCTCTGCTCCTCTTCTATCCATCGCTCTTCACTAAAATGGCCGCTCTGGAAAACCCTGGCCCTCAGCAAAATTCTCACGACTCATGTGGCGTTCTCTCTCTCTCTCTTTCTCACACACACACACACACACACACACACACACACACACACATATATATGAACACACACTGCCATAGTAGCGTGTGTGTCAGGGCTTATGGGGAGGCTATTCCATATTATAGCTGGCATTAAGCTATAATGCTTCTTCCTAACTGTATAATAATAATATAAAAGTTTGGTCAAGTTATCAGCTCAAATACAGGATGGTGCTGTATATTTAAGTCTATAGCATGAGAGTTCTTAAACATTTTGTCCGCAAAATATGTGTGAATTTTCTCTGACAAACAATACTTGTCAACAATCACTTGGAACTACACTATATATATGGCAAATAATGATTATTTACAACAATCACTTATATTTTCATGTCTCATTTTGTCTTCTGTAATGCATTGTGACATATGTGTATACATTGTGCGTGAGACATCTCATGGTAACTATGGTAACTACTGTCAAAAGTCGGAAAGCTTGTTGATCTGATGTCTTTCTATCTGTCTATCTATGTCTCTGGTCTATCTCTTGACTTTCTCTTGTCTACCTCCGGCCTCTCCCTTGTCTCTGGTCTCTCTCTGGTCCATCTCTGGCCTTTCTCTTGTCTTTGGTCTCTAGTATCATTATGGTCTCTCTCTGGTCTCTCTGTGGTCTCTCTCTGATTTCTTTATCAAGTGTGGCATGATTATTTTCTCATAAATGTGTCTAGAAATGGTGACAATATCAAAAACATATACATGATGTTTGATGGACTTTCATACATAAAAATAATATGGCGAGTTTCTGAGTCTAATCACTAACAATCAGTGATCTGGGAAAAAGATAGGACATTTCGTTTTCCAAAATCTTTCAAAAATGGCTTCTTTTCAATTTAGTTGGAATGGCACCTACCCGTAATACTGAAAAAAACAATTCTACAACATGAAGGCAACCAATTCAACTTTTGCCTTTTAATATTTATCTTACACATGTATAAGCCACATTACTTGGTCCAGTTGTTTTTCCCCTAATGCATTGATATAAAAGAGTGATTGCCGGAGCTATACTCATGCTTTGTGCTACATTATTGTGCATCAGTTAGCATTAGATTTCTCACTGACTGCCGTTTAAAGTAAATTAAGCAATTTTTCAAGCAATGCGCTTCTTCCCTTGTTTGATAACATGGCCATATGTTGTTTAACAGTTATACAAGGGTCAAATGGTCAGCTGACAGCATCTCACAGAGGTCTACAGAAGAAGAGAAGTCTTGAGTCTCTCTCTGGTCACTCTGATCTCTCTCTGGTCATTCTCTGGTCACTCCCTGGTCTCTCTCTGGTGTCTCTCTGGTCACTCTCTTGTCTCTCTCTCTGGTCATTCCCTTGTCTCTTTATGGTCTCTCTATGGTCTCTCTCTGGTCTCTCTCTGGTGTCTCTCTCTCTGATCTCTCTCTGATCTCTCTCTGGTCTGTCTCTGGTCTCTCTCTCTCTGATCTCTCTCTGGTCTGTCTCTGGTCAATTTAAAGATTTTTTCTGTACATTGCCAAAGAGTTCCCACTGATTTTTCATCACTGCCCAGAATTCCAGGAAGCTTCCCGTCCGTGCCATTTACTCTAAACGCACAATAATGATACAAATGAAAGTATTTAGTATGGCTTGAAGAATGCACGGTATGTCAACAATCAAAAATTGCCATAGAGAGACCATAGACTGAATAATAGGGATGGACAGAGGCTTGCTGAAGCCTATTAGGAAAGTGCTCATGGGTGAAATTTAGCTGTTACTACCTTTGGCTCCAATTCACTTTCATTAGAAACTAAACTCCTCTAGCTTTGTATAATCGCTTGTGTCACATTCACCATTCTGCGTTTGAAATAGGCCGGAATAACTCTCTATATGATCTTGAGGTTCTTATTTGGATATTGTCTCATTATAAAAGCCAGAGATTTTATTATGAACACTTCTTTTTCTTTTTCCAGTTTTGGTGGTTGTATTATTTCCAATTGTAATATTATTGAGCCTCTCACGGAAGGCGGTCCTGAAATTAACAAGAACTGGAGGCTTTTTTGTCAAGAAGAATAGGCAGCTTTACCATCAGAGAGGAGAAAGAATTGTATTTCCAAATACTATTGAAGACGCCAAGCTAAAGGAGAAGTGCACTACTGAGAACTAGGGGATGAGACAGGAAGTAGTTTCTATGGTCATAATAGCTTGAAAATAGACTTTTTTGTGTCAACATGCATAAAATCAAAATGTCTGTCTGGATGAGTAAACTTTCAAGCAAAAATGTCCAATAATAACTGACCAATCAGGGGCCTTCAATCCCTGAATAGCACAGCTGAGGAAGGACAAGCCTTGCTCCTGATTGGCTTATTGGTTGCTATGAGGTTGCTATGAGAGAAGTGGCTCCTTATTCAGGTCCATAGAGCTTCTCAAAGTGGTGTCTTACTTATTTACTTATGTATGAGTGAGTTTTATGGTCGTATTTTGTTGTTTTTCTCCAACATTGAATCAATAAAGTATATAATATGAATCCAGCTTAATTTCAAATGCATTTAGTCCACTCCCTTTATACAGCCCATGAGATTGAGTTGACACACATATCTCCACTCGCTCACACAGAGAACAGTGGCTGAGGGGGTGAGAGGGGGTGAGAGAAAGAGGGGGAGGTGTAGGTCACTTACTGGCGGTACAGTTAATCCTGATACAGTCTGGAGGAAGAGCAGAGCAGAGGGTTAGAGCTGCCCACAGAACGGATCCACACCCTGGGGACGCACCCAACGACACACCCCTGTTCACCTCCAGGCACCGCGCCACACTGGGAACAAGCCTCCCACACATTCACACTATCTATATGTCTATTCTTACTATTACTTTTGTTGATTATTGCCTATTGCATCATATTTGTTTGGATAATTACAAAAAAATTCACATATTTGAGAACTTTCCTAGTCATACAATGGTTTGGATCTTTACTACAATATAGGTTTGCATATAAGAATGAAGCTGCTATTTATAGTATATATTTCTTGGGTAATAAATCCCATAATAATCATCATTATCTGTCTGATGGTAAGAAAGGTGATATAGAGCGGATCCAAAACTATTAGACTACATAGCATCTTGGGAATTATATTTTTAGGCAAATTTACATTGAAATCTTAGCATTGTCTGTCTAAATGTTTCTCCTCTATCTCAACCTTACTAGAACATAAACTTGTTTGAAAGCACTGCTATTACTATAATCTCCATGCTATCATTAGTTAATACCGAGATTTATTTTTGTCTTATGTTAGAGAACAAATAGAGTAATATATTGTCAGTTCTGGTACAATTATGAACTAAAATTATATTAAAAATAGACTAATATTTTGAAAGATAATGAACTAAAACATCCTATTGTCTAAGAGAGTGTTCGATCCCAGTATTCGCCCGGTGCCCATTGGCTGCTTTGGTTTGAGTGACACTTCCAGCCTCCAATCACAATCCAGCAGAGACTGAGATGGGCCAAAGGAGTCGGCGCCGCCCTCTGCCGCTCAACCAAAGCACAAATCTCCACAAGACATGGACGATTTGAAAACATTTTGGCCATTTGAAAAGGGTTTACCCAGAATGCCTTGGGTGTGTCGAGAGGCGTCAACCGCAGAGGGGCGTGGCTGCAAACAACCAGAGACCAAACATGGCACCGACGAGGGAGAGGATGAGTGTGATGTTGTGGCGTATGTGTGTAATATTTGTGTCATGTATGTAGCAAATGAACTGGTCAGTATATGGGTTTCAGATTCTGTTCATAGGCGCCGTTTTGGAGACTTTTCTCCCTTGAAAATGTAAAATGCAAGTCCAAAATTGTTCCAAAATCAAACTTAGAATAACAGCTATAGTTTGTGGTACAATGGAAATGCTGAAAAGCGCCAATATACAGTAAAAATCAAATATTTTCCAATATTATAATTAGGTTTTATTTTCCTTTTTCATGCAATATTTGTTATGGTTTTTCCAATTAAAAAAAAACAGTATTATTGTTCTAAATTCTCAATTTAGCTGTGTGTTAAAGGGACTGTATGCAATATTTTCATTTTAAGTAACTTCTTAATTTTAATAGGTATGATATAATACCTATAATATTGTGAAGTGTTATGTTTGTGAAGTGAAGATTTATTTTGGTTCTAGCCTTTTTTTAAGCAACAACATTCACATTAAAATGACTAGATACTAAGTTGAGAAAAATAGAGTATTATTTTGTCAATTTTAGGTGAGAAATGATCTATTTATGCATGATTTCCAGTCTCATGCCAGTTGTGTGTGCCAACTTTAAGGATTATTGACCCAACTTTTTAATTTCAAACTTTGTAATTATCAAAATGAACACTCTGAAACCCATGAAAAAGCAGATTCATTAACGTGTATTTGTTATAAAATCCTCTTTATGTGTCAGTGCGCTACTATAAAGTGGAGTTGTGGATGTGGTTGCCTCGGAGACCGGGTGCAGAGGTCTGCTGGCAGTGAGCAGAGAATGCGGCTGAAGCGTCACCCTCTGTTCAACAACAAAACTAACATTGAGACTTACTAATAATACATCTCATACAAATACAAAACTGTGGGAAAAAGACATTAACAAAGACAGAAGACTGGGCAACAATGAAGTGAATGAAATATAGTTGTACATATTGGTTAAATGTAATAGTAGTGAATAGTGCTGTTACAAATGCTGTGTTTCTTATCTATAGATTTATACATAGGAAAAGCATTGCAATTGTTTTTGTCCATTTGTGTTGTATTTTCAGGTTGAATGTGTGCGTTTATATTCAATTACAACAAGAAAATGTGTTGCCCAGTCTTACATAGCACCACATACAGTACATGATCAAATTGTCAAAATGTATAAGATGTACTTGTGCCATCTATAATCATTAGCATTTAAAGCTGGGGTCCCTAATTTTTTCAAGCAGAAATCTGTTTTCATTATTAATGCAAGATCTTCAAATTGTATTAATTCAAAGAGAGTGTAAGGCAAAATCGGAGTGAGAAAAGTGAGTGAGTGATCGAAGCTGTTCTATGGTTGACAATAATATTTTCCATTATTAGTGCCCTCAAAGGTTATTGCATAAAAGATAATATTTAGCCATTTTAATTGTGCTGTATTTAGCTTTTATGATTCGTTTACAGCTAAATCTGCATTGTTTTGTGAAGAAGATAGTAAACATGTTGCGACTATTGCAAAAAAATTATACATAATGATAGATATTGAGGCCCAAAATCTAAAATGTGCAAATGTAAATCTTGTGACCAATAGGAACTAACTGGATGCATACATTACTATCATAAATAATTGTGTTTGAGCTGTGTGGTCCTCTCTTTCTCACTTTTCTGTCTGAAAAATCTGACGTGACAGAGGCCTAAAACACATGCATGTGAAAACTAGAGATAGAATCAAACCGTTTTGATAGCGAGAAACTAGTTAGATGTTATTTATTACAATGTCTGAGGTATAAAAGATAGTCACCTCACCTTTGAATATCTACTGAACTTCCTGTTTTAGCCGTTTTTAAAAAGCTTTACTCCACACTCCAAGCACTAAAGTTTGAAAATAAAAAAAGTATTTGTATTTTTACTCTAACCTCAAAGGCAATTTCTAGTTTGTGACTTCCTGTTACCTACAACAACAATAAAAACAACTCTGGGTAACACTTTAGACTAGCCCTGACGAATAAACAGCTAATCAAGTGCTAATTAGTGTAGCGTAACCCTAACCCGCTTGGGAAAGTGTCAGTTAGTTATTAGATAGAGGTGGAATAAGGCCATGAAGAATAAGGACTAACACGTGCTTAATAAATACCAATTAACCATAAATTATACACTCATTACCACTTCATTATGTGTTAATTAGTCAGGGCTAAACTAAAATGTGACCAAATTCTGATTCTGACAGTGATTCTCTAGCCAAAGCGAAAGTGTTTTTTTATGTGTCGTACCCAGGTTGACGGTGAGTCGGACACGGCCTCCGTCCAGCTCCAGCCTCAGCGTGTCGGCAGAGTTGCGGGAGGTGGTGGCCATGAGGATCCCGTAGGCGCGCTGCGACCTGAACCGCAGAGACACGTCCTCCGCCTCCGTGTGCATCGCCACGGGCAACTGCACCTTCATGAACTTACTGCCGTCGTACGAGAGGATGGTGGCGTCTGGAAGAAGAGAGAGGAAAAAGGTTCTGATCAGACGAGAATAACTTCATCTACTATGACAACTGAGACGAGACTTCATTCAATTTATTTTAGTGCAGCTCTAAGTCATAACAGCGGTAGTCTCGGAGGAGTTGTTGATTCCTCACCAACAGATCAAAGAATCAAACAGTTACAATATGTTGGTACAAATATGTGAAAGTAACACATTTTCAACTCAAATACTGATTAAATGTATTGAAATTGTCAATGATAAGGTTTCGAACTCAGGAAATAGAATTAAATCTGCAAGCGGCATCTAAAGGCCCTCGCCGCATCTCGCAAAGGCGGTGACTCTGACGATCTTCATAAAACTCTCATGGCGAAGAAACCAAATGTTGTAAATCAGTGAGTGTTTGTCTCCATTGAATAACATGGTAATCTCAATAGATCGAAAAGCCTGAAGCTAACTTTTGATGCTACACTTGTTTACATGATGTGGAGCAATTTTGAGCTTCGTCAATCACCTCGACATCATTAGCTCACCTTCTCCCTCCATTAACTGATCATAATAATACTGTAGTATAGTGACGCAACAACATTTATGGACATAGACTTTTGGACATTGGTCATCTGTCCCTTTTGGACCATCGGCTCAATGTGTTTTTTTCCATTGCATTTCTTGTCTTTGAACTGTCTGATTCTCTGATCTGTGTTGGCGAATTCAACGGTTTTATAAAGTCCTCCGAGATAACTACTGCTGTGATTTAGGGCAATACTAGAATACATTGACATTGACATTGATCTTGAAAGTTTCTCATATTTAGCAATGTTATTATTGTGATTTATTTAGCTTTTTTGAACAGTCTACAACTAAATCTGCATTGTTTTCTGCATTGATAAAAGTAAACATGTCTCGTCTATTGCAGAGAAAATGTACATCATGATAAATATTGAAGCAGAAAATCTATGTTCTTATCAGCCTCATAGAAGTTATCAAAACATTCGTTTTTGACCAGAATGTTAATGTCCTCACAACAAAGTGTGCTGGTGTTATTTCATGTGTGCCAAAATGCCTGACCACAAACATAAACAAGAGTTCTGGTGTGTACTGTTTGAGTTTTTCCAATGTGGCTTTACTGCAAATTCAAAAATTCTTGAATTGAATCTTGAAAGTGCGTCAAAAATGGTAGTGAAAAAAGACATTGTCAGAGCGCCCGTCTTGAATAGAGACTTGTGAAAAAGTCAGTTTTGCACAACATTGCCTTTAACGTCCCGGTAGATCGTCCCCAAACCAGATCAGGCTGCGATTCCTCCATACATTTCTTTTTAGCCGTAGTCTGCACATATTAAAGTGACAGTTCACTGGAGCTTGACGGTTCAGTGGGCACACACGTTGTCAGCTGTGAGTGGCAGGTTGGCAGCTGCAGGCCTGAGCACACAAAGCCACTCTGAATCAGCTTTATATGACATGCATGTTGTTCATTCTTCTGCTCCTGCTGCCGTGCCATCGCTCTCGGAAAAAAACAAACAAAACCCGAAAAAATGTCACAAAATCTTGATCCTTCATTCACAAAATTGTTGCGTTTATAGTCTTGAAATAAAACCTGGCTAAAATGCAAATAATTACAATTATGTGAACCCTCAACATGATTGTAAAGATAAGCTCTATTATTTCTGAATTCAAATAGATTGATAGATAAATACTCAAAAAGATAAATACTCAACTTTACAAATGACTTAATGTTTTACTGCTAAAAAAAATAGCTAGTTTCGTGTGAGTCGGGTCACCTTTCCCCAGATCTGACTTTTAGCTAATGGTAATGTGACACAAACACATGGAATCTCATTAAAAGTAGGTTGTGCTTCTTTTCTACTTTAATTATGATTTTTAGTCTTAAAGAAATCAAGCATAAACAAGACACATATGAACATGTTGTAATTTGATTTTCTGCATATAAAAAGACAAATGACTGAAGAATCTTAGAATAAACTCAATCTAATATATTACTAGATGGCATGGACTGTATGTAAATAGACAATGCTAACCCTCTAGCTCAATTAAATCCAATAAGGAAGTGCTCATGGACAAAGTTTTGCTCCAACTTGCCCTGGCTCTCATTGACTTACATTGAACAGTGAACTCCTCTAGCTCAGTAAACGTTTGTGTCACACTCACCATTTCGGACTTAAAATAAAATCTGTAGTTTAGCGCTCTCTGTTATAATTGATAATGTATTTTCAACTGTGTAAGCTATCCTTGTAAGAACAAACTGCCCATATAAGGAAATTGGCTCCAGCTTGCTTATGTTCAAATCAGCTTCTTCTGCATTAAGGCTACACTTTGGTGACTCGGCCGGACTATGCTACATACATAAATTAATATAAAGATTAACTGAGGCAGCTGTAGATCAAGTTGATTATTGCTGTAAAATATGTGAAATTTTTTTTATCTTAAAACAATAGGCCTACAAACTATCAACCAAAAAGATTCCCCTCTTCTTTTTTTGCAGTGTGTGAGTAAAAATAGCCAAAGATGGATGACTGGTCGGATTATGCGGCTGCGTTCGCCACCACTTCTGACATCCCAAAGCCTCGAGTCCAAACGTAACAAGCCCAGGTGATCCACTGTATCCTCATTTGCATACACATTTGCATATTCATGATCTTATCTCTGGCTCAGGCGCCTCCAGGTTTAACTCTGAGGACCTTATTGGACAATTACTTGCATTGCTATATATCACAGTTTTTACAGTTATGAGGGGTTTTCAAGCATTATCTAAGATGTCCATGCTAATTAGAAGTCTAGTCTCAAGAAGATATTGCACATTCAAGTATTCTAAAATGTAATGTGAAATCGCGTATTTTTTCTAGTCTAGAACGTTCTGCTCTATTGCATTTTTAATTGGTTAAAGAGAAAGTACTCAATTGTATAAGTTTGGACATCAAATTATATAAGTCCCAGTCAAAGATTGTAGAATGGAGTGGACAGACCGAGAGCCAAATTCTCAGATAGCAACGACCTAGAAACCGAAGAGCCAATCAGGAGCGGTGCTGGTCTAGACCCCATAGAGAGAGACCATAGAGAGTCCAAAAAGACACAAGCGAGAGACCAAAAAGACCAGAGAAAGGACCAGAGAGAACAGAAAGAACCCATGCAGAGACAGACACCAGAAAGAGACCAGAGAGGGATCAGAAACCAAAGCTAAATTGAATGCCCAACTGTGGAACATTCCAGACAAAGTGAATAAACCAACCGTATAAATCTCATCATGTATCTTTAACCAGACAGAACACTCATTCTGAATCTTTTCAAACACGTTTCATATTTAATCCCAACCTTCAAAAATCCATTTCAATACCATCTTGATCACAATATATCTCCCACCTCTTGGCTATGCATTTTTTATATACAATTCGCAATTCGGCTGTTTTACCCCTGCCGTTACCGTGGGAGACGATTCAAGCCCGGGAACAGGAAGTGAGAGAGGCTCGCTCGCATACAGATGAGCGAGCGGCATCAGGGTTTTTATAGCAACGGAAGAAAAGACTGTTGGTAAAAGCAAAGCAGAAAGAAAGTGGAAGACCAAAAAAAGGCTCTTGGCGAAAATGCAAATTCCCTCTCATTAAGTTAAAGAGGAGAAAAGACAGGGAGGTGGTTGGCCTGTTATAGCGCAGATAACATAACTAACACGTGCACGCTCGCAGCCCTCGTGCACGCTCGCAGCCTCGTTCACGCTCGCTTGCCCTTGATAAGAGACAGAGCCTGACTGCACTGCAAAAACTTCTACAGCCTGACTTATGCCCTATGAAGTAAATGTGTTTGACTGGATATAAGATAGCAACTGCCTAGTAACCAAAGAGCCAATCAGGAGTGTTGCTGATCTAGACATTAGAGAGAGAGGCCAGAGAGAGACTAGAAAGACCAGAGAGAGAGACTAGAGAGAGACCAGAGAGAGAAACCAGAGAGAGAAACCAGAGAAGGACCAGAGAGAGACCAGAGAGAAACCAGAGAGAGACCGGAAAGACCAGAGAGAGACCAGATAAGGACCAGGAAAGGACCAGATAAGGACCAGAGAGAGACCAGAGAAGTACAAGAAAAGGACCAGAGAGAGACCAGAGAGAGACCAGAGAGAGACCAGAGAGAGAAACCAGAGAGAGACCAGAAAGACCAGAGAGAGACCAGAGAGAGACCAGAGAAGGACCAGAAAAGGACCAGAGAAGAACTAGAGAGAGAAACCAGAGCCAATCTCAGCCAATCAGCTCTTAGAGTCAAATATGGACTCACAGGGCTCATTTTTCTCCCAAGTATGTGAAAGATTATGTTTTCTAATAAAATAGATAAAGACAGCATGTTGTGGTTTGATTCCTTCACAACATTTTACTTTTACATTTACACTTTCTGTTGGGAGAAGCAAAAAGAAAAGTTACACACCCTCCATCCATCCATCCATTTTCTACCCTTTAATCCATTTCTGGGTCAGGGGGGTGGCAGTCAGAGATGCCACCCAAGTCTCATAGCACCAGCCCCTCACTGATCCTCTGCAGGTGGTGAGTCCACAGGAGGACGGCTGCTCACTGAGTGTGAGCATAGCCTTGATCTTTCAGTGGGGGCTTTGGGCAAAGTGGGGTTATGTGTCTTGCCCAAGGACACAACGACAGCAGTCATCAGTGGGAGTCGGTGGAGAAGGTGTAGAGGTGGGAAATGAACCCACGACCTTCAGGCCTGAAGGCCAATGCTCTACCAACTGAGCTACTGTCGCCCCCCAAGTTACACACCCGAGCTTTAATAACCGAATGAAGATATAATATTTTAACATTCACTGTTGTTTTGGTTCGGTGAATATTGCCATGATGATCGTTAAGTACAATATGTTATCTTGTAGACTTGGTTGAGTCCTTGCAGCCATGATCCACCTTTAATCACACACCTTTAAAAACATTCACAAAACTGCAGACTATGAACAGGAACATGACCAGATCTTGTGCAGGTTTAGTTGAGAGCAAATGCAGCCTTGAGCTCT